AGGAGAACATCAGGAATATCTTTGAAATAATGAGCCTCTTTGATACAGAACCAGTAGAATAAATTTAAGTACAGTGGATATAACAGGTTTAGACACCCCTATTAAAATGCCAGATTTTTGAGATATAAAAAAAAATCAGACCAAGATAAACTAATTCAGAATTTTTTCATCTTTAATGTAACATATAAACTGCAATTCAATTGAAAAACAAACACATTTTTAGGGGGAAATAAAGAAAATTTACAATAACGTGGTTGCATAAATGTGCAGACCATTCAAATCTGCTGCTTTAAAGAATCTTCTCATTAAGGTTACTGTGTTTACTTAAAAGGCAGAATTTTGTTCAGGCTCAAACAAACATCTAAGAATGCTGAGCTTCTTTAATGAATAGTAAAGAGCCATGCTTGTGTGAAGTCCAAAAAACTTTTAATCATTTTTAAAACATGCACAACTCTACAATTCATGTTTATTCAAAGTAAGGCAGAATAGGTTCAGCAGGACCTAATCCAAAGTAATTGTGTATATGATTGCAACTGAAAACTCATAACAAGTGAATTAAGTAGCTTAGCTGAACACAGGCAGCAGCTGTAGCTGATACTTTACCTTGATTTGCAGTTCTACACTAGAAGTTACAATAAAATATTAGGGCTGTAGCAATGCTTTTGGAAAGATGAAACTATTTCAAATCCCAGAAGATAATCTGTACGTATAATCTTGTTCATGGTTTGTGAAAACCACTGGAAGGATTTTACAAACTGATCTAGAGACATAGATGACCCAACCCAAAATGGTATTGCCAACCTGAAATACTGGTTTAGCTTGTCAAAAGAAGAATCAGAATTATAATACTTTCGGTAAATGGAATTTGGAGTATACATCTGTACAAATACATTTTAAATTCAATTGGTTTGATTTTTGTGCTTTAAATAGGATTGTGCATTGGGATGTAATGGTATTGGAGAGAGGAAGGTGGTAGGGCTATCACATTAGACTGCAAAATTCCAATTGATCACTTTAAGTACCAGAATTCTACAGCCAATGTTGCTAGTGAATGAAAGTTCTAGGAACTGAAGTCCACGTACCTGGAAATCACTAAGGTTGGGAAACCCTGTCTTAGAGATTGACCTCCCCTTTTTTACCCAATCACAATAAAAACGAAAATGACATCTTGCAAAAACAATCAAACTATACTTTAGAATAGTTTAGACATATTATAAAGAATCACTAAAAATTTAATATATCAAACTAAATACTTAAACAATTGCCTCATTAGTATTTGTTATATACGTACACATTATATTTATTCTATTTAAAAATGGCTAGAATATCTTTCAAGGTGGATTATGTGAAAAATATATAATAAAATAAGAAAATAAATACAATCCCTTGGCATCAACAGTAAAAACAAATCTGCAGTTTAGACAGTACAAACATTAAAGGTATGGATGCAATTCAAAATAAGAGCAGTCCAATAAATTACAATCAAGAAGAAGTTGAAGTAAAGAAGGTTCCCCCCCCCCCCGATTTCCTAACAGTGCACCCTGATCAGACCTAATGTAAACTGTTATAAGGAGAGAGGGCCTATCAGGAAATGGCCAAAAAGGCATATATTTAACAAGCAGAATATATGCATTCATAGGCTGGAACTAAAACCAGGGCAGAAGTCCTTCATTGGGGATAACATTAATCTGCAGCACAGAATGATATGGAGTTTCTTTACTTTTACTTATCGTGATTATTGCATGTGCACAGTAAGACTCGATCTATGTATTAGTCTTGACTATAATGTGGTTTGTTTGGTTTTAGCTTGTGAAATCTATTAATTTAGCCATTACAGTTTGAAAATTGAGAGAATATCTGTAGCTCAGGATTGAACTGTAGGCTCCTTGGTGTTCTCTGAGCTTGGTTGTTTCTTGAAGCCATTTCATTTCCAAACTGGGTAACAGATGAATTGTGGCTTACTCAGTAAGCCATGGTTAAGCAAATTATAGGTTAACATAATGAATCTGATTTGTGTATACTGGTAGGTATCCGGTGCTGAATTGGAAGGTGGCACCTCCTTCAGAAGCACTATATGTAGAATAGTGTTAGTGGCTGTACCATAAAAGGCTAGGAATGAGATTCTGAAACAGTGCCTGCCTTCCTCTCTAGCATAGCCATAAAGCACTGTTACCCATTTTTGTACCAGGTATGTTGGGTTTACAGGTCACAGAATTACTAACCAATGTTAAAGAAAGCTTTTTTAGCTGGAAATTCTTGAAGTCTTAGTCCCAACATAACAGGATAGCACTAGTTTGGGGAAGACTGCTTTAAGGTTAGGATTAGCATTCAATCCATAGGAATTTATAAACTGTAGTAGGATATAATATATCTTTGTATGAGGATTTGCACTCACTTGCAAAACAGACTATTAATATTCAGTAGTAGTTTGGGGAAGACGGGACATACTGTCGGTAGAATGCATTAGAAATATTTGTTCAGTCAAAACAGTAAGGAAGCTAAACTGGAGCTAATGTTTCTTATCATATAGCATGACATTTAGGCAAGATATTGTATATTTCTTTAATTGGCTACTGATGAAATTTTAATGAGTGGAAAGTTGTCTCTTGCAGTAACCTATATATTATCCTTTATAACATTTTGGAGCATTATTTCTTCTTAATGCATATAATATTTTGACTGTATATTTTGCATTTAAGTTCATTGTGAGTCCTTTATTTGTCTGCTTCCTAGAGTAGCTGATATCTACATTTACAGCTGTTTCCACCTGCTGCTTCTATTAATGTAAATAGAATCTTTTATTTTTCATGCAAATGAGGGCACTTCAAAAAGCTTTTACTTACATTAAAGTCACTTCTTTTATTTTGAATAATGATTTTTTTTTTTTGTAATCAGAATGGTTTGGCTGACAGAAGCCATTCAGAAAGTTCAGCTATCATTTAGAAGAGACTACTAGTTGTCTATTTCTACAGAATTATTTTTAAAGCCAGTTAAAATAGTAATCAGAATTATTGTAAAGTAAGCATATCTAATGCTTGTGTAAAGTTGAGTTACAAGGTTTACTCCAAGATCTTTTTGAGAAATATGAATGTGGTTAGAACTGTGTGCAAATTCTGGGAGACATTTTCACTGGGCATGGTAAATGCAAGAGGAAGGTTTCAACAATACCAGAAAATCTTCCACCCAGATTTTACTATAGCAGTGGTAAATATATTTCCTTGCACAATAAGGTTTTGGTTTTTTTAAAGAAAAAAACAAAATGTGGGATTTTGTACTAGAAGGACAGAATCCAGGATCTGTTCAAAAATGGTTATATGTATATGGGGGAGGAGGTCAGAAAGAAATCTTAAGTAGGATGGATTGTGGCTACTGTAAGTAGGCTAAGACTACATAGGTCATGGGTGTCAAACTTGATCACGTCACGTGATGTAGCATGACGTATTGCAACGTTTTTTGCCTTTGCAGAGCTGGGGTGTTTGTGGCCTGTGCATGACGCATCCAGCCCGTGGCCGCCAGTTTGACACCCCTGACATAGGTGATACAATTAGAATATGTAGGCCTGTCATTCTACCCATTTTAAAATCATCATATGCAAACAAGGCTAATGTGAACAAAGGTGGTATATTTTTGGAATCTAGTTTGCTAAAAACTTTATTTTATTATATACTATTTTTCCATAAACCACTCCATTCTTTACACATCTTCTGCTGGAGGATCTCTTAGCAGCCTAGGAAAACTTGTTCAGGTACTACAACAAATTAATAAATGTATGATGGTAAAAAAAATTGACACAAACAGTTGATGCAAATATAATTACTGACGTTTTTCTTGTCATATGTGCTTGATTTCACTTGGAAGGGGACAGGAGGAACTTTTGATAGATTGTTTTCTCTATTAGGGAAATTTACAAACAATAGAATATTTATCATAATTGAATTTCCAATATTCTTTGAAGGAAGTTATTACTATCAGGTATAAAGCTGAGACATGTTTACTTTATGGATTTGCCCTGTGACTCATATGGAGCTATGTGATGGTAAGAGGCATTGTTAGCATAGTGGCCAAAATTCAAATTCTTCAACTCTTGCTTGTTGTTTCCATGTATCAGGAAGTAAAAATTTACTCTAAAATGAAACCTTTGCTCCAGTTCCAGGGTAAATGTTAATATTTTCAGATATTTGTTCAGTGAAATAAGCATGTATATTTTACAATACTTGGAAGAACAATCAGAGCAATTTTGTAAGCTTTCTTACTAGAAATTTATAATCTTACAAAAAATAGGAAATCAAGACAACTCAAACCAAGATAGAAAGAGCACTTAGACTGTATTTTTCTCAAGTGGGCTGAATCCAATTTCTCCAGAAAACTGAATAGAAATAATAGGTATGCAGATCAATAAATTGAATACTACCGGTATTTAAATCATTTTCTTGAATTTTTTTTGTTTGCCTTTGTTAAAAAATTAAAGTTCTGCATGTACATTTGTATAATTAAATATAGGTAGCCCTTGACTTACAACAGTTCATTTAGTGACTGTTTAAAGTTACAGTGGCACTGAAAAAAGTGACTTATGATTGTTTTTCACATTTATGACCATTGCAGCATTCCCACAGTCACGTGATCAAAATTTAGCTGCTTGGCAACTGGTTCTAAGTTAACAACTGCAGTGATTCACTTAATGACTGTGGAAAGAAAGGTCATAAAATGGGGCAAAACTCACTTAACAACTGTCTTCCTTAGCAATAGAAATTTTAGGCTCAATTCTGGTTGTAAGTTGAGGACTACCTATATACTTTAATCTACTTTCTAAATTTTAAAAGTACTGAGTGAATTTAAGAGTTGAAACAGTGCTTCAAAAAGGACTTTTCTGCTATAATGCTTCAAACCAATTAAAGCTGTCTATAGCTCAGTGTTTCCTGAACATGTGAGGTGCAAAGGAGGTGGTATGTTTGAACAGTAATTAATGTCAGGATTGTGGTGCTATGAACATTAACCAGACATTTTAAGAGTATCTGCTATTTATATGATGGCACATTCTTATTAACCCCCCCATCACAAACAATGACAATTTACTAGTTAATTGGCTGCACATAGTTAACGGGAAATAGACCAAGCGTTCCACGTAAACAGCCTTTCCACCAATTTTCATCAGAATTGTCGAGAACTTCTATGACATCTCCAATGCAGAATCCTAGCTCATCGCCCTCTGCCGCCTCAAAATCATACAAGGCACGGACCCATTTTGGCCTCTAGCAATAAAGAGAAAGAAATGCATCAGCCACAAATACAAATCTTAGAGATTATAGTTAAATTTGTTATCACCAAATCATGACCTAACTTTTCTTGTAATGGAGAGATGTTGTACCTTATCCACCTCATAAATTGTTTATTTCCCCCATCAATGTTTTCCCTTAAAAAAAAAAAAGATGTGGACCTTGTTTTATTTCCATACCCAGCTGCCTGTTTTTGTTCAATATTTCTAATTTCTCTAATTTCTGATAACCTTGCCAGGATGCCCTTATAATTTTGAGAACACAGGCAGTTAGAGAAAAAGAAAAAAGTCTAAACTCTTTAGAATTATCTGTAAGCTAGCATGAAGATTTTGAAGGAAAAAGTATAGAAAAATCCAGAGCAGATTAATTGAGGTGGAATGAGACAGTATAGTTCTAATGCTAGGCAAGAGTGGGTTAAGGAAAAAAAAAATAGGTTTTGGAATACGGTAGTAACAAGTCAGGCTAGGCAAGAAAAAAAATGCTTGGGCCACGCTGTGGTTAAACAAGTGTGGAGAGAAAGAAAAAAATAGCAGTTCATAAAAGACAGTATAAGAGCAGAGGTTTCAATAATTTAAATGTATTAATATAGCTTTAATAGAAACATATAAATGCTTGGTTATTATGTACATAAACACAGTCACTAGAATATTTATAATTACATTAAGCTGACATAATATTAAACAATACTGTATTTCATTTCTTAGCTTTCTATGTGTCTGGCTTCATTCCTATCCATACCCACACTCTCATACTTATAAATAATGATTATAACAGATTGGCACTTTGCTTTAAAATATGTCAGCTGCAAGGATTCTCCTAGGAAGGTGGACTGGCACTTAAGGATACAAAGCCTATAGGTATGTAGATTTGTTTTAAAAACAAAAACTAAGAAGACTTTACAAAAGAATTCCAGCAGAGGGATCCACAGATTGTGCTAAAAGAAATCACAGCACACAATAAAAAACAGGTAGAGCTTCAATCACATTGTCATGGCTGCCAGAATGATGTTTTCCATCATTTTTAGATGGAGAAGGAGAATAATTAATAGGCCACTTATGACTACAGATAGTCCTCAACTTATGACCACAATTTCTATTGCTAAGTGAGACATTTATTAAGTAAGTTTTGCCTCATTTTACAACCTTTCTTGCTATCGTTTATTTACATTTGAAATGAATTAAAATAATATAATCAAAATGCATACCCTTCAATTATTTAAATTATTTCAACATTGATATTGTTACATAGCTCCCACCACATTAAGTATTGCTGTTTCTTAGCCATTTTGGAAGTTCCTGAGAGCTTCCCCTAAGCTTTCCATTTTGCTTAATGTCATTTTTCTCTTCCAGTGACATACATAGAAAAATTAAATTGATCTATTTTTAAAAAATCAACATTGAGTTGTATTACCTATAAATCTAAATTCTCTCTCAGAAAAAAAGATGGCTGTACAGTACCTGTAATTGTTGTACTGGATCAGTGTGTCTCCGGAACATAGATAATGCAGTTGGGTCTCTACAATCTTTTGGGCCCTTAGGCCGATCTTGAATATCCAAACTTCTGCCATGTCTATTCTGAGAAATAAAAAAAAGTAACATCACCATTATGAATATAATCCAACATGGAACTCAGATTTTTATGGACACGTACAGCTATTGCAGTAAACTTATATAGTGATTTTTTTTATATACTGTAGTGATAGTGTTAGTTACAGTACATTCTATTTATTGTTATAATTATTAATAACAATATAGAGTAACAGGTATTTCAAGGATAGAGCACAATATAACCTCAATTATACAAACTTTATTTTATAAACCAAATTGTTTAAAATGTCATGTAGGTTAATATCGGGCTCAAAGAACCTAGTCCACACCAAAGAGTTCAAAATTACTGATTTATTGCTCAAGCATATGCACATAATTTTTCTCAAACTAACATTTGCACCTGGGTCAAAATAGATAAGGTTCAACAGCATTCAAGGGGGATTGGACTCCCTTCTCTTTTAACTGCACAGAGACTCTAAATTAGGGGTCTCCAAATTTGACAGCTTTAAGACTTGTGGACTTCAACTCCCAGAATTCCTCAGCCAGCCATGCTGGCTGAGGAATTCTGGGAGTTGAAGTCCACAAGTCTTAAAGCTGCCAAGTTTGAAGATCCCTGCTCTAAATTGATTCCTTTTTTGACTCCTCCTCCTGGCTCTGCCTGTCTCTCTCTTACAGTTAAGTACAATGTCAGCTGCGCCCTTATGCTTGCTTGTAGCTCGCTATATTATGAACTGTGTGGAGGGAGGAGGGTAAGGGGGAAAACGAAAGTAAGTGTTGTATTTCTTGAAGAGCTGCTTCAAGGTCATCTGGCATATCAGCTGCATACCAACTTGTGCTCAGATTGTCAGTTATGAAAACATCCTGCTGGAACATGATTGGTTGTATGGGGGTGGGAAATGGGAGGTGGTCAAGGGAGGGAAAAGTTGAACTTAGGAGTTTTGGCACACAATTCTCAATTCTGCCACAGTTTAAACTCTTAAATAGAAATGATCTTTGGCTCCATTTGCTGAGAAAAACATAGTTTTATTAGAACCATAATTTTATTAGAAGTCAAATGTAATGCAGTAATGCAAAGCCACAACTGAGGCTTGTGAACAGGAGGAGCATGGAAAAGAAGGGAGCTGTTTCTTGAACCCACAACCAAGGCCATGACCAAGCATGCCCCACTTAAGAGAGGAGAAGTTACAACCAAGCTCAAGACTGTGGCAGATAAAGGGGATGAAACCAAAGGGTTCTCTTTACCTTTCAGCAAGAAAGAAAATGCCCCAATGAAAACCCAGAAGCTGGTTGAGGAGCACAGCAGCAACTTAACAAGCCAGAGCACTCAAAATTTTATTTATATGCATCATTACTATAAACATCACAAAAATAAGCTGGAAAAAAACTCAAAAAGGAAATTCTGTGTTTTATTTTTGAACAAAGCCCTGCATTAGCAAAGTTGTGTCTAAAAATCATAAAATACCTAAAGATTGAGAACCTGGTTATGCTTGTATATCAGTCTGGGCCATTGTTCATCATGTCTAGCCATAATTGTGAAGTCATGCAAATCATTACCATCACTATCACTTTTCTCCTATGGAACACAGGATCAGTAGGCATCTACTTAAAGTCTTACAAACAGGAGTCAAATGTCAAAGAAAACACTGGGCGCTATCTAACAAAATGAAATTCAATGGTGAAAAAAGTAAGGTTCTATATTTAGGTAAGAAAAACCAAATGTACAGATATAGTATAGGGGATATCTTGCTCAATAGTAGTAACTGTGAGAGGGATCTCGAAGTCCTAGTGGACAATCACTTAAATATGAGCCAGCAGTGTGCTGCAGATGCCAAAAAAGCCAACACAGTGCTGGGCTGCATTAACAGAGGGACAGAGTCAACATCATGCAACGTATTAATGCCCCTCTATAATGCCTTGGTAAGGCAACACTTGGAATACTGCATCCAGTTTTGGTCACCACAATGTAAAAAAGATGTTGAGACTCTAGAGTCAAGAGAAGAGCAACAAAGGTGATTAGGGGACTTGAGGCTAAAACATATGAGGAACGGTTGCTGGAATTGGGTTTGTCTAGTTAACGAAGAGAAGGAGGAGGGGGGACATGATAGTAGTGTTCCAATATCTCAGGGGCTGCCACAGAGAAGAGGGAGTCAAGCTATTTTCCAAAGCGCCTGAAGGCAGGACAAGAAGCAGCGGATGGAAACTAATCAAGGAGAGAAGCAATCTAGAACTAAGGAGAAACTTCCTGACAGTTAGAACAATTAACCAGTGGAACAACCTGCCTCCAGTAGCGGTGAATGCTCCAACACTGGAAGTTTTTAAGAAGAAACTGGACAGCCATTTGTCCGAAATGGTATAGGGTTACCTGCCTAAGCAGGGGGTTGGACTTGATGACCTCCAAGGTCCCTTCCAACTTTATTATTATTATTACTATTATTATTATTATTATGGATCATCGCACAGTCAGCCAGATGTTCAGACTGGATTTGGCATTTTGTCTATTATTATTATTATTATTATTATACACTATAGGAGAGGAAGAGAGTAACACTTGCATTATATAACTATTCTCAAACAAATATCACATTTATCAAAAGGATGCTGAGACTCTAGAAAGAGTACAGAGAAGAGCAACAAAGATGATTAGGGGAATGGAGGCTAAAGCATATAAGGAATGGCTGCTGGAATTGGATATGTCTAGTTTAATGAAGAGAAGGACGAGGGGGGACATGATAGCAATGTTCCAATATCTCAGGGGCTGCCACAAAGAAGAGGGAGTCAAGCTATTTTCCAAAGCGCCTGAAAGCAGGACAAGAAGCAACAATGGAAACTAATCAAGGGGAGAAGCAACCTAGAACTAAGGAGAAACTTTCTAACAGTTAGAACAATTAACCACTGGAACAACCTGCCTCCAGAAGTGGTGAATGCTCCAACACTGAAAGTTTTTAAAGAACTACATGTAGAATAATTCTGACCCAAGGAATTAGCTGAGCTGAAGGGAACTCATAGTTTATACACATAAAAATCCATTTCTATTTATCATAAACTTTCTTAATTAAACTTAATCTTATTTATTTATTTAAATCAAATTAGACACTGCCAACTCCAACTAACTCTGGATGGTTTACAAATAGTAACAAAAAAGCCTGTACAAACCCCAAACAAGGGTATCTGGGTACAATATAAACAGAAAACAAAAATAGCAAATCCACTCAAGGGTCCCAGCTATCTCACAGCAAAGCCTGGGAGAACAAGATCTGCAAGGCTTTTATGGAACAACAGAGTGAGAGCCAAACAGACCAGCCACCAGCACAGCTTGTAGAACAGAGATGTCATATAGTCATACTGAGGCATGCTCATCAACATTTATGTTTTCATGTAGAATACATTGCAGTAGTTCATCCTTCAGGTAAACTAGGGCAGGGCTTTTCAACTAGTGGTACGGGTACCACATGTGGTGCATTGGTACCTGGCAGGTGGTATGCGACCATCCTAGAAAAGTGGTAGTGGGAAAGGGAAATGAGCTGAACCGGTGGCAGCACCGCACAAGCCTGAGTGAGAGATGGCTGGAACTGCAGAGCTGTCAGGGCTCAGTGGAAGCACCAGGATCAGCGCTTCTTCGGGACTGTCAGGGCTCAGTGGAAACACCAGGATCAGTGCCCCTTTCCAGCTGATCGGCGCTTCTTCGGGACTGTCAGGGCTCAGTGGAAGTGCTAGGATCAGCGCCAGGCTCCAGCTGGAGCTCGGTGCTGATCCTCGTGTTTCTGCTGAGCCCAGAAGAAGCGCTGATCAGCTGGAATGTTGCAGCATCTCCAGGGTCTTGTGATTTACATTCAAATGCTTGGCAACTGATTCATATTTATGATGATCACAGTCCCAGGATCATGTGAAGTGACCAAAACCTTCTGCAACCACCCAGCAGGCAGAGGGAATAAAAACCAAGCACCCCCACCCCACCCCCGCTGCCAATCCTCAACAGAAATGCTCACAACAATGAAAACCTCGAACAGGAGGAAGAGCGCTGCCAGGTGGGCAGGTAGGTGTCTTGCTCGGCTGTGGCTTGGGGGGCACTTTTTTCAATGCCATTGTAACTTTGAACAGTCACTAAGTGAACTGTTGTAAGTCGAGGACTACCTGTATTTTATTATTTTTTTCCTTTTTTTTGGTCATCAAGTTTTTGACACCTTGCTAGGCGACTAGTGATACTTGGATATTGCCATATCCTAAAAGTGGTACAATGGGTGAAAAGGATGAAAAGCCCTGAACTAGGGCATGATTGACTGTCTGAAGGGCCTCTGGATCCAGGAAACAGAGCGGAGGGAAGTCTCCCTTGGCCATAGCTGCCACTTCTTTTTGTATTTTTGTGTTTTATTCTATAATCTAATAAAATATTACAGACTGTAGAAAAAAAGAAAATAAGTACCTAATTTTAATTTCTTGGGTGGCTATTACTTTGCTGAATCAGTTTCCCTTTGCATTCACAAATGTATGATGAATTTATCTATGTTTATTAATATGCACCAATACCAGCTAGCTCAGGGGTCTTCAAACTTGGCACTTTTAAGACTTGTTTCAATTCCCAGAATTCCTCAGCCACAGGTTTAAAGTTGCTAAGTTTGTAGACCCCTGAGCTAGCTGGTTGGCCCTTCTTCCTCTCTCCCTTCTGAGCTCTTTCCACAGTGTAGTAAGAATACACTCCCAATCCCTTCCCTGTACCTTTAGAGACACAGGAATCAAATGCAAAGCAAAAAAGGCTCACAAAATAAAGAAACACATAAACTCCATTTTTTTTCTTTAAGCTGCCTCAGGAGTGTCAGATGTCACAATGCTGCAACTAAAAATCTCCGGCAATTGCGAAAAGCTTTAGCTTTAAATTAAGCTTGTTTACCTTCCAAGAAAACTTTCTAAAAGCCACAGACAGACTCAAGATAAGGGGGTAAAACTAATTACATTTGTTTAAAGGGATTAAACCTTTTCCTATTGTCTTTTTTCCCCCTTTCCCGCCCAAACCACCTCCTTTTAGAACCTCTCCTCTCCTCCCCCCTTTTTTTCTTCAGTTCACCTCCAGCTCCACGCTGCTTCCAGAAGCGCCAATCAGCTGGATCCCTGCTGGCTCCTGGGGCTTCTGCTGAGCCCAGACAGTCCTGCAACTGCAGTTGCCTCTCCCTCAGGCTTGGGTCTCTTCGGCTCATTCCCCTCCCCCGCTACACTTCTCTAGGATGGTCGCGTACCACCTGCTACATGGCAAAGTACCACAAGTGGTCCACATACCACCGGTTGAAAAGCCCTGGTCTAGGGGACAACCTTTTCTTGCTTGCCAACATTGATTGGAGCTAACCATAAAAGAAGGATGAGAATAACCATAAAATGGTGTCCCTGCAGATGGTTCATAAAGATACTGTGGTCAGTGGTATCAAAAACTGGTGAGAGATCAAGAAACACCAGGATGGATGCATCACCTCTATCCTGGCTCTACAATAGGTCATCAGTAAGGATAACCAAGGCTAACTCGGTGCTGAATCCCAACTGAAAACTAATTGAAACATGTTTAGATAAGTTGGTGATAGGTAATTATTTTTATTTTCATTGTTAAAAATTCTGAGAAACAAATCCTTCTTGATATATCACATAGATCTAGATCTATTTTCTGCCTAGCATTGATTGTTGTATTACCTGCTTATGATGCCAAGATGCAAAAGGATCCTCATATTTATTGTGCTCTGATGGTCTTGCATCTTTTATTGATGGATGGAGTGCTTCCTGCTCCTTTTTATATTGGTTCTTATCACATGCTTCCTGGAAATAAACAAGTTTTCCCTGTTATACTGCATATTTATTCATAAGTATTTCTTCCCATAAATTATATCCCTATTTTTCAAATTAGATTTTTTGGTAAGGTTTCCCAGAGTCACCATCACATGAATCTATGATTTAACAAAATGCAATGAACAGTAAGGTGATGTTTAGAAACTGGTTTGTTATAGCATACATTTTTGTGTACTAGAAAATCTTTTAAGAAACTGTATTAATGTGACTAGTCCCATTTATCAGAAAGCAAACCATTCAGATAGCCATACTATTTCTAGCATTTCAAGATATTTTCTATGTTTTCCCTCCCAAACAAAAATCTGAACTGCAATTCTTCATTACTTTTTACTTTCCAGGATGTTTTGGGGACTTTGGGGTCCAGAAACATTCTTAGAAATAAAAGATTATATTTGAGAGCAGAGCTCTCCTTTGCAGCATGTTATTTTCCCAAAAGAAAAATTCAGGGCTGCAAAAATATATACACCCTTACATATTCTTTATGTAGAATGTCAGAACCATGAATCAAGGCAACTTGATGGTGTCCAAGTAAAAATGTCAGGATTGAACATTGACTTTCTGGGGATCAGTCAATTCAAATGGACTAGAATGTGTCACTTCTCATCAGAGGAACAATATATCCATGGCAAACAAGAAAAATGAGAGTGGTACTGGAGTAGCTGTCACTATTATTGATATTTGTTTAGGTTACAATAAAAAATGATAGCAAGATCTCACTTTGAGTCAAAGACAAGGAGATCAAAACGACAGTGATCCATATCTATACTCTAACTACACATGCTGAGGGAATAGAAATTAATTCTGTGATGACATGCAAACCTTGCCCACAAGCACTTAAATAAATAGTCACACTAATTCCTGGCAACTAGAATGCTAAAGCTGGAAATAAAATAGCATCTGGAAATCATGGGAAAGTTTGGCTTCAGAGTATGAAGAAAAGCTGAAGAGGAATAAGATTCTTTGAAGAAAATTCAATATTTATAGCAAATATTGGATGACACTACTTGCAGTTGAATTTATCCTTGTCTTGGAGATGACATTTGACAAATCATGAAGGATTTCCCTTCTATTACTTTACCTGCTGATCTTTTCCCCTCCTTTCTTTATGTTATTCTTTGACCCCATTTCCTGTCCTACATTATTGCTTCATGAATTGTTCTTTAACTATTTGTAGCTTTCCTTTCATTTAAGAACAGGTTTATATTTTGCTAAAGAAACCTCCCTGAATTCTTCTTTATGCTCAAATTACCAGCTTGTGCCCTTTTTAATAAATATATTTATATAATATTTTCATTTGCAAGGATCACATACAGGCACACACACACACAAAGAGGGATAAGTTTTTGACCTCTGCTTTACATAAGGATAAAATGTTGCTTAAACTAAGTATACATACTAATTGGCTAGAATCTTTATCATATTACGTATAACAATTCACACAGAATATATTCAAGTCACTTGAAGCCTGCCATGCAAATAATTTGGAAGGCTGTTGTAGGAGATGACCAGGCTGAGCCCAAGGAAGAGGGAGGGGTCAAATGCATCACCAGCCTCAAGTCCCTTTGTACCTACAAGAGATCTAAGTCCACCTTGAATTCCGTTGACTCTTATCTACTATCCGTTTGCTTTGACTGTTAGTAGTTAAGATTCTTGTAGAGATTAAGCTTGAAATACACCTATATATTCATTTGAGCTGCCTGGATTCCCGATTTCCCATGCTTGACAGCTGTATTATGAAATACTGTGAATCCATTTGTTAAAACTACTTTATCTGGGTTGCAAGAATTGGAATGACCATTAGTTGGCAACAGAAAGATTATTTATCTTTTTTTCTATCGAGGGGTCATCTGGAGTTTTGCTATTCAGATATGGTAACTCTCTGTTATTACTATCTGAAATTAACAGCAACCAGTGAGGTTTACCAAAGCAGCAATAAAAATCTTCAGTCCCAACTGAACTGCATATATTACAAAAAAAAGGACCTGCTTACAGAGTAACATAATTATTTTATTTCTAAAATAAAATATTTCTTTTTAGTATATTCATAGCACATATTTATGAATTGCTTTTTAATTAAAAAGGAATTGCTTATTATTTATGTAACAACTTGTTGCAATATCCATATGAAAGGGAAACATGTCTCTAAATACATTGCTTCCATATTGAATAAAGGTTGTGTTTTTTTAAAAATCATGCTCTTGCTAACAAAATCCCAGAAGCTGTTTTTTCTAAGCTCATGCACTTTATGTTTAGACATCTCTGTCAATCTTACATTCTTTGAGAGAATGGCTCTACAAAATCCTAGAATTTATGCCATTCTGCAACAGAATTGAAGATCTCAACTCTTTGTTAATTTTAATTTATTTAGCTTTATATGACTTCCGGTTATGCTTTGTACCTGATTTCACTTTGGTCTTAAACCTGTTGGCTCCCATTTATATGAACATAAGTTCATTGCTAATTGGAAAAAAACCTGGATTTTTATAATGCTGGTAAATAATTCAAAAGAGATTTTATGTCCAAATCACGAAATAAATTCTTTTCTTTGTAATAATACATACATATGCATCCTGAGACTTTTCATACATTCAGAAGATTCCCCCAGTCTGTAACAGATAATATGTGATGTTTTTAAAAATTAAAAGCAGAACTTCACATAAATAGAGCCTGAGCTGGGAAAAGGTTTTTCTCTCCTTGTGTGTCCAACATCTCAATGTTTGCTAAAACCTATAGTTGGAAATAAATATTTAAATACAAAGATCACTTCAATAATTCTGGTAGGAATTATCCCCAAAGGTTTGGGAGGTTCAGGAAAAGAAGCAGAACATTTTGCTTTGGAGTGCAAGCTGTCTGTAAGACATCAGTAAATATTTTAGGTTGAATGTATTTTAGATTTTAAATTGTTAGCAGTATTCTTATATCTCTATACAAACTCAGTAATTGCATGCTTTATGACAGGATACATCAGATATGTTCCAGAAGTTCGTACTATTTTCCTCTTTAACACAACAATAAGGGAGGGGCTTGTGATGCTGTAATAAGATTGAGAGCTATGTTGGCAGTAGAATATTTCACTAGAAGGGTCAGCCATGCCATGCAGGTCTTAATGGAAAAACCAGACTAAGTGTATCAATCAGCCGATTTAATATGGTAAGAAAACAGAAAAGAATCTTATACTGGATCAGTTACCACCTAAGCCAGCAAGAACCACATTTATTCAGACTCATATATCACTGAACAATAATAAACAGATCAAAGTTATTTATTACCAGAAATAAAATATTCAGGGATGCAGAAGAGATTCAGAAAAATTGTGAAAATACAATTGCAGAAGAAACTCAGATAAGAAGAATTGCTAATATAAAGGAAAAAATGATAATGGAAAGGAAATGATATCTTAGGAAAAGTAACCACACAGTCCTTATAGGCAGCACTGAACTAAACGGAACTGACACCCTGATAAGAATTAAAAGAAAAAATTATGACACATGCAGAATTACTAGTAGAAAGACAAAGACTGCCAGCTTTGAAAGACCTGACAGCAATAATAAAGGATATGAATAAGGTGCATGCAAGGATTAAACTAGCATATATCAAAGAGACCAATCAGCTTGCCAGCTATACAGCTGAGGTAGTTAGAGAAGAACTGGGTGTCAGAATTAGAACACTAAAACTAAAATCACGTTCAATCTCAAAGTGGAAGATCAGACTAGAGGCCAAGATAAAGAAATTAAGATCAGATATGAGTAATTTAAAGAATGCAAAAGAACAAAAATTGAAGAACATAAGGATTAAGACAAGCTTAATAAAAAAATATGGCTGAGTACCTGAAAAATTGAAGAAGCCTTTAGAAAACATAAAGCAACATATAACAGCAATAACAGGGAAAATTGAATGCTATGAGGCATGGATCATCCAATTTAAGCAAAATCAACTATTTCAACCAGACCAGAGATGATTCTGCCAAAGTATAAGTGGCAATAGAAATTCTAAAAATGGAAAACCAAAGAAAAAGGAAACAATCCAGTTTTGAAAAGATCTATGTGAAACTCAAAAAGACTATAATAAAAATGCTAGATAGATAAAAAATGTGAAGATAAATTTAGTAAAAATCAAATGGAAGCCCTAATATTAATAGCAGAAATGGTTAAAAATCTAGTGAAAAGGATTAAAAATTGGATATCTTCTGGATATGATTAATTGCATTGCTTTTGCCCCAAATATCTGAGTAGCTTACATTCAATTATAGCTAAATAACTTAACGACGTCTTGCATAAAGGAAACATCAGCAAATGGTTAATAACTGGCAAAACTTATCTGACTCAAAAAGATCTGGCAAAAGGGACATAACAGGAAATGATAGGCCAATAACATGCTTGCCTACAATGTTTAAATTACTCATAGGCATAATAGCAGGCAACATCCAATATTATTTAGGAGAAAATAACGTATTTCAAGTAGAATAGAAAAGAAATAAAAGAAAAAGCAGAGGTACAAGTGATCTACTTCTGATGAATAAAATGGCTTTGGAGAATTACAAAAAGCAAAAAAACCCGAACAGTTTAACTGGCTTTTCCTCTGCACTGACCATAAAATGGCATTTGATTCATTGCCAAATAGTTGGATCATCAAATGTTTGGAAACTGCTATCAATACAAACATTAGAATATTTATGGAAAAAAATAATGAAACAATGGAAAACAGAATTGTTGGAAACAAAAAAAATATGGGTTTATCAACTTTAGGAGAGGCATTTTCCAGAGTGATTCATTATCACCCTTCTTTGTTATTGATTTAAAAAAAAACAAAAACAAATCAAAAAAATACTAATAAAATCTCACCTTTCTTTTATATGGATGGTTTGAAATTGAAATCTTGATTTTGGCTGCTCAAGAGCAAGCTATTTGTACTAATGCAAACAAGGTCAGAGTGGGAAATTATTTAAAGTGCAGATTGTGCAGTGTGCAAAGAGGCAGAAGAAACAAATCATATACTTAGCTTGTGCAAGAAGATTGTACAAACTGATTATAAACAGCTATATAACACAGTTGACAGAATGTTTCATTGGAACATCTGTAAAAATTATCAGGTGCCAGTAATGAATTATTGATGGGAACACAGAGTAGAAAAAGTAGTTGAGAATGAGTAGGTTAAAATATTGTGGGATTTCAAAATCCAAACTGATGTCTTCTTTTTTTTTCATAACATACCAGATTTAATTGTGATGGAAAGAAGAAAATGTGAATGTGGAATAGAAGATAAAGAATTGGAGAGGATCACAAAATACTTTTCATGATCTGAAAATTGAAGCTGAAAGATTATGGTATAAACTGGCCATGGCAATTCCAGTAGTTATTGACATACTTGCCATACCAAAAAATCTTGGATGATACTTATAAAATCTGCACATTTTCAAAATTTTCATCTATCAGTTGCAGAAGGCCACACTGCTTGGATCTGCACATATACAACAGTGATTCATTATGACATTCTAAGTTCTTGGAAGGGACTCAGTGCAGATGAAGGCCAACCCAGCTAAAGAACTGGCAGCTGTGACTTCACATTGTTACAAACAGATAACAAAGGCAAAGTATTACAAGGCTAGTACACAAATAAAACTTGCATGCAAAGCAGATAGCAACGTCCTGGCAATGGCTAAGAGCAGGAAAGTTGACCAGAGACAGTGTAGTTAATTCTGGCTGCACAAGACAAAGCCTTAAGAACAAATGCATATAAAGCTAGACTTGAGTAAACAGCAACAGCAAGTACTGCCTCTACAAAGAAGCTGAAGAAGCCTAGTCTGCTTTTGCCAGATCACGCAGAATGGCATAACAAAATAGCAACAATTGTGCAATGGAATATCTGCAAGAAATATTTATTTTTTATTTACTATTAAATTTATTTACTATTAAATTTGCCACCTATCTCATGTCAAATAACATTTGGCTACAAGCAAGAATTGGTGGGACCACAAAATAGACAAAGTAATAAAATCAAAGATGCTCTTAGACTTTAGAATTCAAACAGACAATAACACCACATATTTAACAACTGTTGATAAGAAAGATGAAAAGTTGAGATAGTGGACATGGCAGTATCTGGAAACAGCAGAATAGAAGAGAAAATTACAAAATGCAAAGACCTGCAAATAGATGTAGAACAACTGTGGCAAAATAAAGCAAAGTTAGTGCCAATATTAAGGGAGTGCCTTGGGTGCAGTCCCAAAACATCTGGACACCACTTGAATAAAAATCATCACCAGCCAATTGCAAAAAGCAGCCTTATTTGGAATACCTTATATCTTGTGACAATAGCTTTAATATGCACAAATGCCTAACCCAGGTCTTAGAAAAAATGCCAAAACCAGTCAAACATCTGTCTGACTCTGCAATTAATCATCATTATTAAAGAAGAAAACAAAAAAAAAATGACATCTTGTGATCAACATAATGCATTACACTGACAGTTGACTCAGTGGTGGGATTCAAATATGTGAACAACCGGTTCTCTGTGTGGATGCTGCTTCTGGAAGTCCATTCTGGGCCTGGGCAACAAAAAAATAGCTACCGTTTCTGCCGAACTGGTGCAAACTGGCTGAATCCCACCACTGAGTTGACTTCACCAAACCAGATTCAACTTGTTAAACAATGGAAGTTTGCATTTTTATTTTTAAAAGTAAAAAGGATTCTTATTTATAAATAATGCTCTCTATCTAATATTCTCTATCTGTTTCAAATCAGTTTTCTCCAATGTTTTGGGCTATAAGTCTCGTTGTCAATCATCAGACCAGTAGCCATGCTTTCTTGGGATGGTTGATGTAATGATTTAACACCACTGGGGAGCCTTGTGTTAAGGCTTCTATAAAAAAAATGATGAAAGGAGGAAGAACCAACTAGAAACAACTAATGAAAAGGTTGATGGGGTGGCTAATTTCATGGCAAAAGTCACCTTACTGGCTTATAACTTTTACAAACCTTACTGGATTACATTTTTTTCTTCTACGCTATCATAAAAACTGACCTCTCTAAGGTTTACTTGTGATCCTTTTTTGATGTCTTCTCTCAGAAATATCTGTTTGTTTTTGGAGATGGAAACATTCTTGTAATACTCCACAAGTTTGTTTAGTGATTGAAACTTTTCAGTCCATAGAAAATAATTGTTGTTTGTATCCTTCATCACTTTAAAATGCTGGACATCCTCTTCATGCCTGGATACCAAGGGAGAATACAAAACATTTGGCAATCCAATCTAATTTTAAAGTTACAATATTCTATTTGTACTCTGTATTAACTTTTACAAATTGGCATGCTTTAGATGAAAAGCATTATTTCAATTATTTGTGAAAATAATAATACCTATAATTATTATTCTATATCATTCTCCATAAATGGTTCCAGGTGGTTTATGTTTTAAAGTTTGAAATGCACTAAATGTATTAAAGTTAATGCCATTCCCATTAAATAAAATAATTTAAATTTTAAACGATTAAATTATTGAAAACCAGGCAGAAAAGCTAGGTCTATACTATGTTTCCCTGAAAATAAGACCTGGTCTTTTTTTTTGCTTCCAAAAAAGGCACCAGGTTTTATTTTCAGGGGATGTCTTTTCTCCTGTCTCACCTCACAGCGGTGGCACTGACAGCCATACCCACTTCTTCTGTGGCCACTCATCACTGCTCACGCGCGTCACCCCCAGCCTCCATTTTGCTGTCAGAGGCCTTCAGGAAAGACTTCTACAGCTGAGAATGGAATTCCTGATTGACTCGCCCTCCAGCCTCCATTTTGCCATCAGAGGCCTTCAGGAAAGGCCTCTGCAGTTGAGAACCAAGCTCTGGATTAATACTGCATGGGTCAATCCGGAGCTTGGTTCTCGGAGGCCTTTCCTGAAGCCTCTGATGGCAAAATGAAGGCCAGGGGGCACCACCTGCATCAATACAGAGCTCCATTTTCAGCTGCAGAGGCATTTTCTGCAAGCCTCTGATAGTGAAATGGAGGCTGGGAGTGATGAGTGCGAGAGGTGGAAGTGGCCACAGAAGTAGGCCAGTGAGGCAAGGCAGGTGTCAGGGCATGGGAGGCCTAGCTGCAGTGATAAGCAGATGCAGGGCACGTGGGGCAGCTCCACCCCCCCGCCCCAGTTTGATTTTTAGGCATGCGCCTTGCCCTAAAACTAGGGCTTATTTTGGGGGTAGGGCTTATATTAGGTCCACCCGCAAAAATCAAGTTAGGTCTTATTTTTGAGGAAACATGGTAAATGCCTGATCTCTGCATGCAGAGTGTGCCACAATCTGGGGATGATGACTGGGAAGGTCCGATCTCAAGTCACCATTAGAGAAGCTGGTAGTTCTGGTTCTGGAGATGGGTTAGTGAGTAATGAGGATATATACAAAAAAGACATTTTCTCAGGTAACTGAGGCCTAAGCTATTTAGGATCTTAAAGATGATAGCCAACCCCTCAGTAGGGAGTAGGAGGAAAGATCTGCTCAGAAGACTATTTTGTTCAGCTCCTCATGACTTTCTACTCTCTCCATTCCTATTTACCATCTACATAAAACCACTTGGGGATATCATCCATTAGCTCGAGGTCTGGTATCACATTGATGATACCCAGCTATATATCTTGCCCTGGTGCCAGATCCATTGAACTTCCTGGAGGCTCTCATGGTTTGGATAGAGTGGAACAGATTTTTACTGAATCCTTCCAAGAAGGAGTAACTTTGGGTTTATAGACCAAACAATTTCAAGGAAATACAATTTTTGACTTTGAATGGAGTTCAGAGATGTTTTTTTATTTATTTATATTTCACACCTCTTAACCACCAATCTACTTCAGATTCACAATTTGGGTATTCTCCTGGACTCACAGCTCCTGCTTGATGAGCAGGTAGCAGTTGTGGCTAGCACAGCTTTTGCACAGCTGCTCTAATTGTGATCAGTCTTTAGGTTCTTATTCATGCCTTAGTCACTTTCCTGCTTGTGTTATTGTAATGAGCTTTACATAAGGTTGCCTCTGAAAAGCATTCAGAAGCTACAGTTAGTACAAAATGTAGTAGTCTGGTCAGTTATGGGTATATCCTAAAGTACTTGAGTAATTCCACTATTTTAAGAGCTGCCTTGGTTGCTGGTTGGCTTCTAGGCATGATTCATCAGTTATTTTTATATCTCTAAATGGTTGTGGACTGTCATCTGTTGCACTACGACCTCCCATATTCATCTGCCCATCTGATCAAATCAAAGAGCTCCATCTTCCAGTTCCCATCATTATGAAAGTGTTCTCTACAGGGCCTTGAAACTAGTCATTCTAGACTGCTGCCCCATTCTTTGCAATTGTTTGCCTTGAAGATCTGGTCTGCTCCTGTCTTCTTAAGCTTTAGGACAGCAATCAAGATCTGATTGTTCAGTCTAGTCCAGTAGGAAGATATGTTGTAAATGAAAGTTGGAGTCCAACAGATGCACAACCCTGCACTTTTTGATAATTTTTGTTTATATTTGAGGGAAATACTCATTATTTTTATGAGGGCTTCACTTATTTATTTTGCTGTAGTAAGTAAAACACTGCACTAGGACTGGAGAGATCTGAATTGTAGAGTGTCTTAGGTAGAAAGACAGCTGGGTGACCTCGGGTCACACTCTCAGCCCTAGGAAGTAGCCATGATAAACCGCTTCCAAAAATGTTGTCTAAAAAAAACCTACAGTGAATATATGATTTGATTATTCATACCATTTTCTTTAATTAAATTTATAGCAAGTTATTTGGGTAAGATTATCACATTTGGACAACAGAAATCTAGACGACCACTAGATGGCAGAAAAGAATTAGATTCTGAAAAAATTATAATTACTCTGTTGCCATTTTGTGGTCACCTTGATGTTTGCAGCTGGGTTATAGTAGCCCTATAGTTCCACATGAGGATTTAATTATTTGACTTTGTAATAATGCTAAGATGCTTTTGTTTTTTTAATTATGATTTTAAAAAGTTATACTAGCCTGAGCTTCATACAGCTCTAAGATTGAATGGATAGGTTCAAACATCATATTAAGTAGAAATAAATTACATTGTAGAATGCTCATAATCTTTTTACACTTGAAAGCATGCCCTTGTTTCTGTGTATTTTATCTTTATACAAGAAAGGTCTGTTATGAAAGGAAAAAGAATTGCTTCACAGTATTATTGATTGTGTTAGGGAGCATTTGAAAGACTTAAAATTTTATTCATGAAAAAATGTTCTGCCTGAAATCCTGGAAGTTCCATCTCATATGTTTATGAAACCATGATGATAGCTTCTTCATTTTTGTTGTTCCTTTATTCATTTTTTTTGACTGACACTTGCATAGCACACAAGACATAGCAGAGGACTAGACAGTCTAGTGCAGGGGTAGGCAACCTTGGCTCTTTTATGACTCGTGGACTTCAACTCCCAGAATTCCTGAGCCAGCCATGAGTCATAAAAGAGCCAAGGTTGCCTACCTCTGGTCTAGTGGTTAAGGCACCAGGCCAGAAAGCAGGAGACACTGAGTTCAAGTCCTGCCTCAACCATGAAAGGTTTCCAACCACCAATAAACACAATTCAGTCAAGCGCCTATTAAATATGGAATTATTGGGCAGTATTTTCTTGATGTAAAGCAACTCCATTCTCTCAAATTTTCAGCTGTTCCAGTCTGAAATAGGTATAGGTAATTTGCACCACAGTGGTTTCACAAACAGAGAGGGAAATCTGTTTTAACAGGCTCTATCTATTTGAACTAACAAGGCTACTATATTTGGACTGCAAAAATCTGGAAGCTCACTAGATGGGAACAAAGACCTCTTTCATAGACATATTATTATTACTTATTATTACTACTGTGTTTGTGCCTTCAAGTCCGTTTTCAACTCCTGGAGACTGCCTGGATGAGTCCCTACCATTTTCTTGGCAAAGTTTTTCAGAAGTGGTTTTCCACTGTCTCCCGTATTGTCCTAGAGAAAATGGTTTCATGCATAAGGCAGCACTAGAATTCAGAGTCTCCCAGTTTCTAGTCTGATACCTTAACCATTACACCAAACTGTTTCTTGTGAATTATTTTACATGTAATGTAATGCTAATTTTCTCAATCTGTGTTTAATCTCCACCTAAAAATTGCATTGTGCCTCTGGCAAATTAGAAAATAGGTATCTGCCAATAAAGGAATTAAAGTTAAATTACAATATATTTTTAATATAACAAATTGAATAGAATTCTATGTTACATTGTCTGCAGTAGATTAATGCAGGTGAATTCATGGAAAGATTTAGTTTTAAAATATTTGTAGCGCCTTCTATTTGTTTGCTTTGAATTGTTTTGGTACCTCTTTACTCTCCTACCATTGGGTAGGAGATATAGAAGTATAGGCAGCTGTACCAACAGGCTGAAGAACAGCTTCTATCCATGGGCTGTCAGGCTCTTGAATGGAAAATAACTTTATGTATGATAGACTCATGAGGCTGGCGCATTGTACAATTAGCTTACAGGGTGTAATACAGGGCTTTTCAACCAGTGGTATGGGTACCATCTGTGGTACATTGGCACCTGGCAGGTGGTATGCGACCATCCTAGAAAAGTAGCAGGGGAGGGGAATGAGCTGAACCGGTGGCAGCACCGCACAAGCCTGAGCAAGACATGGCTGGAGCTGCGGGGCTGTCAGGGCTCAGAGGAAGCGCCAGGATCAGTGCCACTTTCCAGCTGATTGGTGCTTCTTTGGGACTGTCAGGGCTCAGTGGAAGCACCTGAATCAGCGCCAGGCTCCAGCTGGAGCTCGGCGCTGATCCTGGTGCTTCTGCTGAGCCCTGAAGAAGCACCAATCAGCTGGAATGTTGCCTTATCTCCAGGGTCTTGTGATTTACATTCAGTTGCGTGGCAACTGATTCATATTTATGACGGTCACAGTGTCCCAGGATTATGTGAAGTGACCAAAACCTGCTGCAACCACCCAGCAGATGAGGGGAATAAAAACCACACACACCCCACTCCACCCCCGCTGCCAATCCTCAACAGAAATGCTCACAGCAATGGAAACTTCGGACAGGAGGAAGAGCGCCGCCAGGTAGGCAGGCAGGTGTCTTGCTCGGCTGTGGCTTGGGGGGCACTTTTTTCAGTGCCATTGTAACTTCGAATAGTCACTAAGCGAACTGTTGTAAGTCGAGGACTACCTGTACTTTATCACTTTTTTCCTTTTTTTTTTGGTCATCAAGTTTGGTACTCGGCTATTGCTGTATCCTAAAAGTGGTAGAATGGGTGAAATAGTTGAAAAGCCCTGGTGTAATAAGTTGGTCGGTTTGTTGTCACCGTGAGTTGTGGGGGGAGGACACGGAGGGAGGCTCAGCCAATCTCATAGTATACATGTTGTACTTTGATAATAAAAGTTCATTCATTTAGGACTGTTTGGTATCTGCTTTTAGAAATTTTTGATAAAATCCTATATATGTTTACTTAAGGGAAACTCCATTGAGTGATTTATAGGTATTTTTCAAAAATTAATATATAACACTAAATACTTACTGCTCAATTAAAATATATTGGATTATATTGGTAAGTGTTGGAAACAGCATTTTCCAAACCGGAATATTAATATATTTTAAGGGCTAGATTGAAAAAACAACTGTTATGGGCCATCCAGAGGCTGTTGTAATGATACAGAACACGCCTTGAAATTAACAAATGGCTGTTGCATACACAGAACAAAACATTGCTTTAAGATATCTATCAAATAAAGCTCTCTACATCCCAATGTCCATCTTTCCCACATGGGAGAAAGGGAGGAGGAAACTTACCTGACAGAGATAGAGAAATCTCCTGGGGAGTTCTGACTAGCTCGGACTATGAAAGCTCCAACTCCTTTATCCCTGAGCATCGTCTCAGCCATGTGACGGGATACTGTCTCTTGGAACCAGCTGTCAAAAGCAATACATCATAAGTGACTATAACAGAAAATTAATTTGAGAGAGAGAAAGCCAGATTTTAAAAGTACACAAGGGTAAGAAATGCCTCAACACTCAGTCTCAAACAATCAACCAACCATCATCATCATCATCATCATCATCAACCCCTTCTAATTTGTTTTTACCATTCCAGCATAAAATAATGGGAGCCCCTGTCAAAATTCAAAGTGTTTCTGCCATTCAGAATGCAAAAAGGAAATGTGCCATACCCATTCCTCTGAATATATATCAAGTTATTAGAAGAAACATTGTTCTATATGCAGAAAACTAAATAAATAATAACAGCTGATGAGGCTCATATTGATAAACATAAATCATCCTAATGCAATCAACTACTGTGTTTCCCCCAAAATAAGTCTCACTCAGAAAATAAGCCCTAGCCTGATTTTTAGCATGCTCCTAATATAAACCCTACCCCCAAAATAAGCCTGGGGGTGGGTGGGCATGGCCAGCACAGGAGGCGGCAAGCATGCAGAGCTGTTGGTGTCCAACAGCATCAGCCTGCGCAATGCAGATAAGTCTGAGCATGGAGACAGGCGGGGGGGAGGCAGGCGATCTGGATGCACTGTGCAGCCATCTGGTTTGTGGGAGGCTTGCGGGAGGCTCGCATGGCAGCACCGGCAGCAGGTAGAGGCACCAGGGGGAGGCAGGCAATCTGGATGTGCCGCCCACTCCATCCCACCATCTCTCAGTTTGCAGGTGGTTGCGCTGGAGCAGGTGGCTTCATGGCATGTTGGGACTGCCTGCCTCCCCCATGACTCTGTGTCTGCTTGCTGCCTGTGCCACTGCACAAGCCTCCTGCAAGCTCCCATGAGTCAGGCGGCCACGCAGCATGTTTGGATCATCTGCCTCCCCCTGCTTCTGCCTCCGTGCTCGGACTTACCTGCACTGTGTCAAGGGACCATCGGGCTGCAGCTGCTGCCAGACACCACTGGCCCTTGCACACTCGCTGCCTCTTGTGCATGCGCCGGGGGGGCGCCCAACTGGGCTGATCACCCTGATACCCTGTTTCCCCGAAAATAAGTCCTAATGCATTTTTTGGTGCAAAAAATATATATAAGATTGGGTCTTCTTTTCGGGGAAACATGGTAAAGGGCAGGCACTTCTAAGAGGAAAAACGGATCAACTTTAAATTTAAAATGAAGTAGATTTTAGCTTGCTTTATTTTGTTTTGTTTTGACAGTAGTCCCAGAGTGCCTGTAGAGCAGAAGGTCAAAAGAAAAAAGTTTGAGTATAGTGTTCATGTTCATTTGTACCTATGAAATAAAAAACATTAGATATAGATATAGACACACCCTCAACATGCAGACATACATCATGCTAATTTTTGAAAGAATAAGAACTTTATGCAGCACACAGAAGTGACTATAAAGTCATACTCAAAAAAATTTAAAAAGCAGGATAAGAGCAAAGAAACATCTGTACTTAAATCTACTTTTTACCAACACTATTCACTATTATTGTTCCATACTTTTTTTATCCTTGCAAACCATCCTTGTTTTTACATTTCCACATCTCAATTGACAGAAGGGCTTTTCTTTTAACAAGAATAGTTAACAAGCCACTGTTGCTTGGTTCACAACAATTGGGGGGAAAAAGAGCCACAAAACTCATGGTTTTCATGCTATAATGACTGGCTTTGTATGCTATTTCCTTTCTGGATAAGTAATGTAGTGCAGAGCACAGAAAAACAATGAGAAATACAAAGCTGCTTTCTTTTTGAGGATTCATCAACTTGAGTCCATTTCTATTTTTTCAAACTTCCCTTTTCTTTCCTCTCAATTCATTTAGGTTTTCACTATACAGTATTTGTCTTGCTATTTTCTCTGTGATGAAGTCACTTCAACATACCTCTTTTGTACTGGGCACTGACTTGTGTGTAGACATTCATTTGATATCCATGCATTCTTTTTGTTTTTCCACCCACACTTCTCAATTAATCTATTTTTCTATTATTCAATTTATATTGCTCCTGACATACTCAAATTTCAATTCCATATAAAAAGTGAAGTGTACTTTTGTATATAAACATTTTTGCTGTAATTTCTTGCAGCAGATTTCACTTCCTCTTTATCAGAGTTTACATGTCTCAACATTTTTCCATTTAGTTTCCCAACTTTAGTTAATATTCTACTGAAAGTTATCCACTTGCTTTAATTTTTTGCTATGTATAAACTTACAAATACTACCGCTATTTTGAGTGAGTACAGGAATTAGCTCAGAAATTAAAGTTACTTTTAGAAGGAATTCTGATATTTATACTTTATATGTGCAACTTTTTTTAGTTACCCTTAAAATATTCCAGCATCTACTTGGAACGGTTTATATTTTGGACATACTTTGGCAAATAGGATTGTGTAATTTGATATGGCAGGATAATATTAATCTCGTCTAGCTTTCTGAATACTTATGCATGTGTGTGTTTGTATGTGTATGAAAGTTGCTGAAAAGCCATTAGGAAAATATTCAGAATTTTGAATATTTCTGAACAGGAAAGGGAAGATAGGTAAAAATGGAAAAACAACTTTTTTCCAGAAATTTGTCACTTTCTTTCTTTTTACCCATTCATTAAATTATTTTTTAAATGGGTACACAGAACTCTATATTATAAAACATGGACATAAATGTAGAAATTGTATACTTACCCAGGAATCTGAAAATCAATATAATTCTTTGGGACATATCCCTCATAATTCTTCAGCTCAGCTCTGTACCAATTTTCCTGAGAGCTTAAGATCTGTAAATCAGATGGAAAACTGTAATTACTTTATGTGAGACTTGTGCTAGTCTACATTTTGAAGATTTTATGCCTCCTTAACTCCTTTGCTATGTTTCCTGCTATCAACTCTTATCAGTTTTCCTCCAGAGATCTGAAACAAACTTCAGCCATTTTTTTTCTTGAAAATAACTGTATTCTCTTACCTCAGAAGAAATGAACTAGCATAGCAGGTGTGCCAAACCAACTGTTGAGAGAAACTGATCGTTCCTGACTTTCATTTATTAGGCATGGACATCTGTGGGAAGAACGTCTACATGGAAATACTTTCCTTTAAGAAAAAAAAAAACCCTGATTGCACAGAATTTCAGCTGCAGAGTGTGCCTCAGAACCTCACAAAGTCAAAAGGAAAAAAAAAGAGGGTGGACCTAAAGATCTATGTAAGCATAACAAGAAAAAAAACATTAGAAGCTGTACTGAGGGTCTGGATTTCTTCCCTACTTTGGTGCTTTGGTTAATTACTTTATAAAGAATAAATCTTATATAAAATTTATTTGAAAGCCAGTTTGTTCTAGTGATTAAGGTACCAGGCTAGAAGCCAGTCATTCTCTTCTCAGCCCAACCCACCTCACGGGTTGTTGTTATGAAGGAAAACAAGAGGAGGAAGGTAAAAGTAAAGGTAAAGTTTTCTCCTATCCAATCATGTCTAACTCTAGGCGGCTGTGCTCTTCTCCCTTTCTTAGCCAAGGGAGCGTTGTCTGAAGACATTTCCATGGTCATGTGACCAGAATGACTATATGCTGAGGTGCGTGGAACTCTATTACCTTCCCACCGAAGTGGTACCTATTTATTTACTTACATTTGCATGCTTTTGAACTGCTAGGTGGGCAGCAGATGTGGCAAGTAACGGGAGTTCACCCCATTGTGCCGCGCTTGAGTTTCAAACAAGCCTAGGATCTTTAACCGCTGAATAACTTTAACCACTGAGCCATCATGTCCCCAGGAGGAGGAAGGAGTATTAGGTATATTCGCCACCTTGAGTTATTTATAAAAATAATAAAGGTGGAATATAAATAAATAAAATTTCTATCCAAAGTGTTTCTTTTCTTTCAATATGCCCATGGCAACTGCCTAACATGACAGTGGCTTCTGAGATACTGTATTGCTCCACTTAAAGATGTTCAGTCTTAGAGAGAGACGGTGAGTCAATGAAGTGACTCTGCTTCCCTTAAGATTTATCTCTGTAAATGGCTGCAAATAATATATAGAAGTGAAATCATCCCATAAATCTTACAATTTATAATTTATATAATTTATAATTCTTCCTTGTTGTATGAGGAAATAACCCTTTCATAATCAAAAATAAAAAGAAACAGGGAAACCAAATAGAAATTTGGGTGGTTCAGAAATAGGAAATATAAGTAAAAAATAAATAAAATAGTTTGGGAAGATTATGTTAGTCTGAATTGAATTGTGGAATTGGTAAAATAATTTTAGAAAGCAGTGAAAGAAGAGGTTGAAAATATGTTTAAAAGAACTAAATTTATGAAGCATTGTACTGAATCTATAGTAGAGTTGACGGCATCAATTCAGGAGGCATAGAAAACAAACAAACAAATAAATAGAACATCTGCCTATTTCACATCCTTGGGAAGGACTTAATAGGTGGATAGAAATATCAAATCCACTCTAAACACCTGGTTGACTGTGCAGTGAATAATAATAATAACAAAGGACTACCTAGTTAGCTGCTGCAAGAAGATCACACGGATTGACTACAAGCAATGGTATGACAAAGTAGCAACAATGGTACAATGAACTATCTGTAAAAAATACCATTTGCCTGCAAGCAAGAACTGATGGACTACAAAATAAGTAATAGAAAATAAAAAAAACTAAATTACTCTAGGACTTTAGAATTCAAACAAATAGACACTTGCCACATAACATCCCAGACTTAACAATTGTTGATAAGAAAGACAAAATGTCTGGATAATGGACATGGCAGTACTTGGAGAGAGCAGAATAAAAGACAAAGAACTGGAGTAAATTACAAAATACAAAGAGCTGGAAAAAGAAATAGAACAACTGTGACATAAGAAAATCAACAAACAGTAAGTTAATAATTGAATTGAAGGTTAACCGTAATAGTAATAATCCTTTAGTTTAAGTAGAGAACAGAGGAAAAAGTATATAGAACAATGCACATGCAAGCTTACATATGACAACGCATTCATATGTAATTGAGAATAAATGTTCATATTGTTGCATGAGGCACAGGTTCTAAATTCATGAGGTGGGTCCACACACCGTTTCATTACTCATGGATTTTAACAACAAATATGCTTAAACAAGCCAATATCTGTGCTGAATTGTAGTGTTTAGCATTATCTATTCACACTCACTGAATGTTATGTCCTTTCCTAATTAGATATCATTTTAAGTATCTTCGGTTAAATGTGTGAAGTCTGTTAAGTTAGCAAAATAATGATAACTTCTACTTCAGAGAAATCTGAAGAGAATGCTGCTCTTACTCATCTCTGAAACCATAAATTAATATTTCTGTAAGTGTTAATAATTTTATCCGAAGTCAGATTTCCAAAACGTAGTGCAAAATTGTATAACAAGCTTCTGGTCTCAAAATTCCTTTATGCCTAATTGATTACAATTTTTTTTCTTCCAGTAGTCAAATGCTGAAATCTAAGCAATACTAAAAACTCATATGAGTACTTGTATAATTGGATTTACATTTCCAGAGAAATAAATATGCTCTGAGATAAAGAGGACAGTCTTCAGATAATATCTTTTTGAGAACTGGTCATGTAGAGATATAGGTTTCCTCCTGTCAGTGAGCCTCATCCTTTCTGCTTTGTTAATATCTATATTAAAGCTGGGCTCCTTTTGCCTTTTGAAAGAAATTCTGCACTCTGTAAAATAGTATTTTTAATTTAATATTTTTCTAGACAATGTTAGTTTTTTAAAAAAAACATCTGAACCCCTGAAAATTTGCTGTGAATGAACTTTTGGGTTTCAGTTTTTAGTGTTTCATACAACCCACCAACTTCTTGTGGAACCCAGTGTGAAAAAAACTGGCTAGAGATAATCCTTTGGGAATCAGTTCTAGTTTAGGTGTCACTGATTAACAGAACAAATATATTATATCTTCATAGGAGACACTTCCATACATAGTCATTGCCAGGGCTTTTTTTTTTTTGTCATAGAACGCATGGAACGGCGTTCCTTTTTTCAACTGAATTTGTGGAACTAAAAATAGTTCAGTCAGACCTTCCAACTTCTTGCAAAAAAAAAAAAAAAAAGATCTGACTGAACTTTTTTTAGTCCCACAAACTCCCTTTCCCTGCAGCAGAAGAGAAACATGCCAGAGCTGGAAAGCAGGTTAGCAAAGAAATGCTTTTGGGAAGAGGAAGGAGCTCTGCCGGGAGGAGAAGTGGCAGGAAACAGGGCTGCCATTTCCAGAAGGGAGAAGGGAGTGGGGCAATGCAGGACAGCAAGCAAGTGCTGTTCTCTGCTCTGCATCCCTGCGCACAGCTGCTGTGTTCTCCGTTCTCCGTGAGACAGGCGACAAAGGACTGGTGGAGGGAGGCGGCAGAGGAGTCTTGTGTCGCCCAGTCACGGTGCAAGCCATGGGAGACTTGGCGGAGGACAAAGAGGTGGCGGCTGCACCAGGGCAGGTGATCTGTGGGGCGAAGGTTAAAGAAAGCCCCTCCAGTGGCGCACAGTGGCAGCGGAGCCATTTACCGTCACTCCCCCTGGCTCTGAAATGGTGGAGGGGGACCGGGCCTACCCTACCCATCCCATCCATTTTAGCATGGTGGGAGTGAAAGGCTGCCAATCAAGGAATGGCCTGGTGTGGAGGGGCTGAGTTCCAGCTCTTTTTTTCTTACCAAAAAAGCATTGGTCTTTGCACTGCTCCAAAATCAGTTTTGCATCTATGTGACCTAGGACATCTTTGTTTGGCAGCTGAGCCAATTTATTTCTGGTTCACTTCAGAATCTCCTTTCCCACTGGAAATGCTGAAGCTGTTTAGTATTTTGGGCATATAACATGTCTGTTGGCAGAAACCTGCTGCTTGACTTTTTATTTCAAACTAGCTTCTTCCTCTTCCCTACAGAATTCAGCATTAAACTATTATTGTCACTGATTTTTTAAAGGTAGCCAGGAGATATTCACTTGATGGAATTGCAGCTTTCCATGTTGCCTGTGTTCATTGTTTTGGGGGAATTACCAGACAATTAATACTTAATTATTAATATGGATGGAGGCCCCCCGAATGTCACTGTTTGTACTATCTTAGTGGTCATCTGGAGTGCACAATGATAGTGTTTCAGCACTTTGAATTCATCGGCAGTGAAGATAATTATTAATTAGCTTCAAACTGCTTTTGAGGATTTGGGGAATAGAAAAGGTGATGCTCTGGAAATGTCTGTGAAGAAGGGTTGATTGATACATACCTTCAGAACATCTTGTGCCTGAAAACTTAGCTCATCCTCTCCTGATGCTTTAAAGTCAAATTTTGCAATGGCTTCCATGGTATCTCCTGTTATAGTGAAGTAGAAGATACATAATGTTATTTATATTTTCTCTAGTTTGATCAATGATAATCTTTATTATTAATATATTGTTCAGGAATCTTTGGTTGAATTTGTAAGGCAATTATATTGCCATTTATGGCAGAGTTCCACAACTTCTCTGGCTTTGCGGACCGGCTGGGGGGGGGAGAGGGAATGGTTCTGCATGGGTGGTGGGCAAGCAGGGGCACAGCTCCATTTGTGCGAGTGGGGGGAAACATGTGCCTGCTGCTCATACAAATGGAAATGTGGTGCGCACTCACTCACCATTTCCGCAGCCCGGTTCCAAACGGCTTAAGGCCTGGGGGGTTGGGGCCCACTGATTTATGGTATCAGCCAGTTATCTGATTTCACTGAAGTGCTGGCTGTGCTGCAATCAGCATCAGTTAACATAGACACATTCTTTTTTTAAAAAAAAAACAAATTGTATTGGTTTTTTAATTAATACAAAGTGTTCGAGACACACCGTGAGGCTGGGGTAATCAAAAATCCCAAAACAAAACATATATAAATAATTTAGTCAATGACTGAACATAGACACATTCTTAAGTGTAATTAACAACAGATTCAATAGTATAATAATCATAGAAGCAAAAGCTAAGTGCAGTAACACTAAGAGTAGTTTCCCAGATTCCCTGAAAAGTATTATCATCAATCTAATTATGTCTTGGCTGCCAATCATCCAAGGCAAAGGCTAGAGACAGTTCCATTCTGTCATCTATCCTAATACTATTCCTTCCGTGCACAATGTCCAACTATCATCCATCAGAGTGCTAAATGATGGTGAATCATCTTCATAGGAACTGTCATCGACACTGCACTGCAGTACAGGTAGTCCTCGACTTACCACAGTTCATTTAGTGACCATTCAAAGTTACAACAACACTGAAAAAAGTGACTTATGACTGTTCTTCACACTTACGACCATAGCAGTATCCCCATGGTCATGCGATTAAAATTTAGATACTTGACAACTGACTGATATTTATGATGGTCAAAGCATCTTGGGATCACGTGATCACATTTTGCGACCTTCTGACAAGCAAAGTCAAGATTCACTTAAGATTCATTTAACAAACCTGTTACTAACTTAATGACTGCAGCGATTCATTTAACAAATGTGGCAAGGAAGGTCATAAAATGGGGCAAAACAAATGTTTCACTTAACAATAGAAATTTGGGCTCAGTAGTGGTCATAAGTCGAGGACTATCTGTAATGCTGAACCTTCAAATCCATGTAAATATAGTGTTTAGCAATTTCCATGGCAAAGAATGCTGTTAGAAAATTAGAAAAAAGGCAAGCTCTGACAAAATTATGAAAGAAGTAGAATTTCTACCAAAATTGTTTTTGAGAAAGATCACAAAATATAAAAGCTATCAATTCTCATAAATATGAAAACTGGAATTGACATTGATATCAGCTTCATCAATTTTGTTTATGATGGACTCCTACATTTTGCACTATATTGTCATTATAAAATGTGTCTATCAAGAAAGAGGCAGCAATATTAATATATACCGTATGTGCTTTATTACCAATAGCCCCTTTAACTTGTAATAATGGATCAAACATTCAGACAATCAACATATATCATATCGTAGTAGTACTGGCTGAGTGAATCTTGTTCTATTACTGAAATAGATATAAGCCACTCTTACCATTTCCTGCTAGCATGATTGTGATAAGATCTGAAAGGATGATCAGAGCCAATTTCAAGTACATTTATCTGCTGCACCACCCTACTGAGGCTCCCAAATAGCAACACAGGAAGTGGCTCAGTTTAAAGAATGAACAGCAAAGCTATAGTGTGAGCAGATAAGAAATACACAACCAGTTGACAAAAATGTACAGAATAAGCCTTTAGTTGTTAATACATTCTATTCTTTGTCAAAATATCTTCATCCATTTTACTAATTGATTGCTTTATATAATAAAATTAGACTACTTTACAGCTTGCTCTTATTCTTTTTTAAAAATATTAATAATAACCATGCTATCCAAATAATTACCTGTATTGTTTCTTCCAGTAATCATGCAAGGAAAATTTACAGTATAGCTTTTCAGTGTGCTCCAACTGGGAAATATACTACTTGACTTTTGGGAGGAATGTAGCAACTTAGATGCTTAACACACTGATTTTGGTAAAACATTGGTGGATTTCATCAACTTGTCCAATTTATATCTGATGATATACCTGATCAAGGTATGGATGTTAGCCCCATGAGGTAGACCAAATCAGGAAACTGATTTCACAGGAGGATTAGGGCTATATTTTATTGTGATAGGCTATAATAATAATCTGATTATGCTTTACCTCCACTGTCACAGTGCAGTGTCCCAGGTCATGTGATCATCTTTTACTTAACCTTCTGTTAAGTCAAGTCAATGGGAACCCAGATTTACTTAACAACCATATGACTAACTTAACAATTGCAGTGATTCACTTAACAACTGTGGCAAGAAAGGTCGTAAAATGGGGCAAAATTCATTTAACTGTCTTGCTTAGCAATGGAAATTTTGGTTCAATTGTGGTCATAAGTCAAGGACTACATGGACTTTGCCAGTGGTGAGATTCAGCTGGTTCACACCACTTTGGCAGAACTGGTAGCTAATTTTTTGTTGCCCAGGCCCAGAATGGACTTCCAGAAGTGGCAACCACACAGAGAACCGGTTGTTCACATATCTGAATCCCACCACTGGACTGTGCCTTAGCTTAAGGCCACTTTCTAACTTTCATCTAAAAAGTCTGAATCTATATCTGGTGACTTTTGATGTAAATTATGCAATTTTATTTATGTATTTATTTATTAATTTTTTAAAAATTCTGCCTTCAGATGATTACTTTCCATCTGTGACTAAAATCCACAAGTGTTGGTCTAATGCAGTGGTTCTCAACCTGTGGGTCGGGACCCCATTTGGGGTCAAACGACCATTTCACGGGGGTCGCCAAACAATGCAGTCCGCCATTTTTTTCCCCCTTTTCCTTAGCTGTACTACTCCCTTTTATTCTATTGGCTTTTGAAAGCCAATAGAATAGACTCTCTTGAATAGAGTCTAATTCTATTGGCTTTCAAAAGCCAATAGGAATTGTCCAGGCTGTCTCTGCCCTGCTGAGCCCGCCAAAAGTCCCATTCTGCAAACGGTGCTGCACCAGTTGAGTAGTCCTCGACTTACGACTGGTTGAGTAGTCCTCAACTTACGACCGGTTGGGGGTCGCGGCATTAAAAAGGTTGAGAACCACTGGTCTAATGAAGCTGTTCAGTACTAAGACAATACTTGATGTCAGTAATGTATTGGATGAAGGAAAACAAATTGATGCTTAATATAGATAACACAAAAGTGCTTCTAGTAGGAAAAGGAACTTAACATATGTAGAATTAACCTTCGCACCATTCTGAGTGCCTATGAGTTCTCTCAATTCCAAATTTACAAAGGTAATCCTGCTATACAAATTTCTCAAGATCTGAGCTGTGTATTGTGGTAGAGCTAATGCCAGCCTACTTGATTATCAACTCTAAAAAGAAAAGGAAACCTGACACTAATAATAAATGTTTCTTCTTTTTTCTTTATTTTGTATTTTAACTTTGGACATAAAATAAAAATTTGTGGATTAAAGAAAAAGAAACATGTGTTCTAAACTGTGCAAAGAGGTTCCCTCAAAATCCAGATGTATTAATCCAGGGTATTAATAAGTTTATTTGGGCAGGGAAAAAAACCAAGAGTTAAGTTTAAGATTATACAAGATGCACAGGAAAGAGGAGGACTTAACGCACCTAATTTAAAATTGTATTATGATGCGGTGGCTTTAACTCTGATTAGTGATTGGCTTAATTTAACAAATAAAAATATACTTTTTCTTGAGGGATAGGATTTATTATACGGATGGCATGCATATTTAATTTATAATAAAAAAGTAGATCAGGTTTTTAAATCTCATATTTTAAGAAACGCTTTATTACATGTCTGGAAGAAGTATTATTATAGGTTAAATTATAAAATTCCAATTTGGGGGATTCCTGGACACGTGATAGAAGGGGTATCTAGGGGAGTGAATTTGGATAGGATTTCTTATAAGGAATTACTTAGTTTGGTAGGGAAGGATTGGCAATTAAAATCTTTAGCTGAGTTGAAGCAAGAAAATATTGTACACTCTTGGTTTCAGTATAATCAATTGTTAGTTAGGTGGAGTTTAGATCAAAAGGTTGGTATTACTTTAGAGGACGTGAATTTGGTAAAACAGATTAAAGATCAAACTCAAGCCCATATAAAGAGAATTTATAATGTTTTAATAGAATTGGATTCTGAAACAGAGTTAGTTAAAGATTGTATGGTAAAATGGGCACAAAATATTCAAGAGCCGATTCTATTGGACACATGGGAGACAATTTGGGTTAGAAATGTAAAATTTACTCAAGCTCAAAATCTGAGAGAAAATTTTTATAAAATGTTTTATAGGTGGCATTTGGATCCCCAAAAGTTGTCTTGTATGTATCCTAACTTGCAGCCCAAATGTTGGAGATGCGGTAGTTTGGATGCAACTTACTTTCATATTTGGTGGACTTGTAGAAATATAAAAGCTTTTTGGATTAAAATTTGGTGGAACATTCAAAATATTTTTAAAAGAAAGATAAAGTTTACTTCTCAACTATTTTTGTTGGGTATTATTGTAGATTTTGATGTTAAGGAAACTAATTTGATGTTGAATTTAATAAAGCAGCAAAGCTGTTGGTAGGGCAATATTGGAAGAAAGATTCCTTGCCGACAATAGAAGAAGGGACCCTTAAGGTCTCAAATTTAGCAGAAATGGCAAAAATTTCGGCTTATTTAAAGGATCATTCACAAGAGAGATATATTTCGGTTTGGAGAAGATGGATAGATTATATTCAGTATAAATATGGGACTAAAAAGTTCCACTTACTTTATGAATAAATTTTAGAATATTATTATTGTTATCATTATTATTATTAA